GGTAACCCAGCAAAATCCCAATACCATCCCTAGCCCCTATCGACACGTGGAGTGCCTCTAGACCTGGCTTTACCACCGAGGAGCGCCTAGTAACCTCCAAGCTGGATTTATAAACAATGGCTACTCTCCCCCCCCGCCCCTCCAGTCTACCCTGGTGCTGGACGGCATAACGGGGTGGACAGACGAGAGATAGGGGAGGACCCCCCCTCTCTGCCAATCCACGTCTCAGTTATGCATGCCAGGTCTGCATCCTCCTCCAGGATAAGGTTGTGAATCACCTGGGTTTTATTGGATATAGACCTGGCATTCAACAATACCAGGGTTAGAGTGGAGGGCTGGCTGGGCTGGCTACCTCGATATTGAGGGTTGGTCACAGTCTCACAACAATGAACTGCCGTCAAACATCTGTTAATCGTTCTTCTGACACGAGCGGGGACTGTGCCAATGCTATATCTCCCTCTATCCATGATCACCAGGATGTTAAAAGGCCCCTCGCTGGGCAGACAGGCCTTCCACTCCATATCAGACAGAAAAAAGAAGTAATGAAACAAAAACCCTAAATAATAACACAATTTAGACAAAAGTGCATAAACAAATACAATATTATCCAATACTATAATTAAAAATCCCACTACAAAAAACCCATATATAAAATTAAATTAAAAAGAAAAAATAGCCAGGAATTGCCCCACATATAGTCCCACCGGATCCAGGGCATCTGACTAGCTATGTGTTTTCAGACACACTCCAGCATATATGTGACATTTCATGCTAACTTTACATGAACACCAACAGGATAATGTTTTCAGCCATCTCATGAATGGAAGTACTGCCTACCTTTTCTTCATCCTCCTTTAGACTTCCCAAAGGCTCTAGGCTAACCATTCTCCAGCTGTTGAAGAAAAAGGATTTCTCAGTGCAGAATTATCTAAATGTAGCTCTGTTGCACTGTGAGAAAGCATTCTGCATAATAAACTTTACGGACGTGCTTAGTAAGTTATGTAACAAGACTCTTCTAATAAATAAACAGGACTAGTTCAAAGTCGCTGGTCAAAATCCTCCTGCAGACTGCCACCAAATAGTCTTTGCTGCAGTTACTTATGTGGTTCCTTGGTATACACACATCGGGCTTCATGCATAACCTGGAATCCAAATGGGGACTCATAAAACTACCCAGTCATTCCATAAGAAATCACAACTGGACCCTAATCAATGGTGATCTGCCACTATAGTGATGCTATTTCCCTACACCAGCATTTGTTAAGCAAGAGGACTTTTGGCCACTGACTGTGAGTTGACACAAGCTTTTCTTACAGACTCTTCACAAAGTTTATGTACCAACCTCAGGATTATTGCAATATAATCTATAATCCTGAAGGAGAAATAAAAGCCAGAATGTTGCCAGGAACAGCATACAGAAATCATATAATCATGAAATCCTGTTGGTAAGTTACGCAAAAAGTGTAACTTTTGCAGTCGAATTGCTATAAGTCCATTTTTAAAACTTGCTTTAAACAAAGAAACCTGGACTACACATTCAGCTATGCATTTTGGAATTTTTTTTTTCAGCACTACCTCCAGTTCTGTAATGCCCAGCCTGATGAAGACTCCTGTAGAGTCCGTAGGTAGCTCAGAATTTTAGTGGTCTATTAGCTACTCTCATCTTCTGATTGTGTACCAGGATCACATGGCTTCTCTCCTTTCCATTGGACTATCAAATACAGTATTCTCTTTTTAAAAAGGTCCCTGTTCCTCTTTCTTTATTTTCTTCTTTCTTTGCAGCTCTAGAATTGTTCTATCAAAGATCTCATGTCAAGCAGCAATTTCTTTTCTTTTTTTGCAATACAGTTTTTATCAGAGACCAGTAATAATCTCAAACAAATATTGTAAACGTCCCAAACCGGAAACAGATTCTTGGTTACTCTTGAGAGTCATCTGGACGTAACTATCATAATTCACTAGTGTATGTTGAAATAATGTGGGAAAGTATCTTCAGTCATTAACAAAATTGACATATCCATATGAATTATGACATTATCATATTCTGAGCACTTACTGTAACAGTGGTATCTCTGTTCTCAAGAGTAAATGACAATGAAATGTATTTAAGAACTATCACTTAATGCAAGGACATTCTGTTTAGTCCTAATTTATGGAATGTAATCCTGTATATACTGACATTTAAATATAAAAAACAAAAACTAAATAAAGTTGCTTCTCTCTCATTTCCTTTAAAAAATCTGGAAAAGGACACATGGTTGTGAACAATCTCAGGCAATCAGGCATATCATAATTTACGTGATGACATTTCAGATCTAGCTATGTGGTCATATTGTTCAGGGCAAAACCACTCTGTTCCCACCGACAAATCCTGCTAAGATGCAGTTTATTGTGATGGAATGTGTTTATGTTTATACATCAGGTGTACAGCTGCATTTGGATTGTATGCTAGAATTCAAATTCCAGCATGCAATCCACTAACAGCAATCCAATGCAGAAAGACACCATTTGCACCTAGACAGTCACTATAATACCCTTGGTTGGTTTACTTTGCCATGTAACCCTGGGGCAGTTTCACTGCCACAGAACAACTTGGCAGGAGAGGGAGCATCGGCCTGGTGTGAAGACATAGCCTTCTGCTTAAGTATCTTCCTGTCCTTTTGAGTTACCTTCGCCCCCTGCAACATAAAATATATGAGGCATCTTTTTAAAGATGAGAAATCTATGTGAAATGACCCTCTCCCTTTAGTTCAGTTCTACCTCAGTTAAATTCTGCCTTGTTATGCTCTTGATATGTTGACAGTAAACAAATTAAATGTACCTTGGAGTGAGAATTTCTTTATACTGCAGTTTCTCCAGCTTCGATGGTGCAACCAGCGACATTGGGATGACAATATTATCTATATCATATGAGCTCTCACTTCTCAGTCTCCGCCTTGAATGTAGCTAGTTAAAAATTATTTTAGTTATGTCTTTGTTGTCATAAAATGGCCACAGAAAGTTAAAAGTTAATTTCCATGCATAACGATAATAGCATGAGCTTTAGTATTCGAAGTGAATAACTACTGAAGTGTTGTTTTCTGTATCATTTATCTTTTTAACTTGATTGCCTTTCCTCAATGGTTTTGTAACAATATACAATATACATAAAATTTTGCGGAATGCAAAGATGTCTTGTTTAATGGAAGACAGAAAAATATGAAGAGCGATTAAATGTTGCAAGCTTCAATGAACAAAAGCAACAAGATCAGACATTTCAACAAGAGCTTGAATATATACTTAATTTATGAAATGCACGGTAACCTCTCACAATTTGAAATAAGCCTCCTAACCGCTGTCAAATGTACAATTTTTAAGACTTATGTGGGAGTCAAAATCCATCTTTAGTTCTAAAGCAGCTGCCACTGCTCTGAGGGGCAGTGTGCTTGCAAAAAAGGTTCCTGCTAATACAGACTGATCTCAATCACTTGCCATAGCTTCCACGTACACTAAGCATACTGAAAGGTGCATGTGCTAAGGCAGAGCTAGAAATAGCAAACTGAATTATCTGTTGGTAGCGCAGGCTGTTTCTGCCCCATGTCACCTTAACCTAATCTGCTAGTCAAACCTATAAATCTCCCAATGCATACACTGCAGTATACCTGTGATTTAGATGTCATGTCTCCAATGGTTGCTCCTGCAAAATGGGCTTGGGGCTCCTGATCTTCATGCTGAAAACAGTATGTCTCTAATCTATTGTTATTTTCTCCTGACATGCACACACACAAAAGAAAGGAGAAAAAAATGAGGACTCCATTATCTCTTAGCACACAAGTAGTATAACAAACTCAGAACATATATACAGAAATAATTTGCTTAGTAAACTTGATGCTTCTCAAGCAATTGTAATAAATGTGTTCTTGAGCAGTCATCACAGTTTTGTATCAAAACCTTCCATATAATTTCAGAACCATTTCTGCAAATGGTTATATTAAAATAAAGCTTACTGATCTTATTTTCTTCTAGAGTTTGAATTAGATCTTGAAGGACCTAAAACCTCTTTTTTCTAGAATGTTTAAGTAACTGACACTCTCAAAATTCACAGCTTGCGTTAATAATGCCATTGTCACATTATAAGTCCATTTTTGTGCCCATATCCCTTTTCATGGGCCCCTGATAATGCATACTTGTTGTCAAATATCTCACTCCATGTGTCTGAAGAAGCAGACTATAGCACATGAAAGCCTGTATTGAAGTAAGTCATATTTTTCTGTAAGGTGCCTCAATACTTTTGGGTAGTTTGTTTTTGCTTTTACCATATTTTCAAATCAGTTACTTTGATGTTAATTTATAGAGAACTACGCTTCCTAGTACTCCTGGCTTACAGTGTGCCTCCTCAACCTGCTTCTTGAGTCATACTGGCTGAAAAGCAGCCAGGAATATGGAACCTCACCAGACTGGGGGCAGTATCAGATCTCTAAACAGGAATCCAACAGAGTCCAGTTTAAATCAGATTGTATAAATGAGGCCAAATATTGCTAAATTATCTATAAAAGCAAGCATAACATGTTAGGAAAAAAACAAAACCAGGACAACATACTCCTGTAATAGAAGAAAACCCTTGACGGGTGTTTGATGGCAGCCACATAGAAGTTGCATGACACCAGTGAATGACTGAAAGAAATAAATATTGGTACTCACTGTGAAATATTTATTTTTATGTAGCAGAAGGATAGCATCCTCAAGAGATGGGTTGTCCCTCCCACTCCCACAGGTGGAGCTAATCAGTCAATCAGGCAGTAGTAGGGGTCCCTTAAGTGAAAGGTACCACCTTTGGCTGAACCAGTCTTCCTCTCCAGCCACCAGGAAAAAAGGGAATAAGATAACAATAGGGAACAGCAGAGAAAAAACCAGACCTGATAGGTGCCCCTCGCTTGGTCATAATAACTCAAGGGAGTGGAAGGATGTCCTCCTTCCTCTACATAAAATGAGCATGTCATGGTGAGTACCAATGTTCCTTTTTCCTGTACCAGATGAAGTCATCCTCAAGAGATGGGATTTACCAAAGCCTAGGGTGAGATGGACGAGAGGTTCACTTATCCCCTCCCTACAGGTTCAAAAACCTCTCAAGTCGGACTTAGGAGAGGTCCTCCACCTGCTAAAGGACTCTTCTCCTAAATGTTGCCTCAGTCAAGATAAAGCAGTCCACATAATGCCTGGTGAGTGACCATCTTGCAAATGTCCTCCAGGGGGATGAATGTGGCTGATGATGTTCCTAGTGGATGCCTCAGATTAGCCTTTAACCAGAACTCTGATAGAACATATTGATGCTATTAGTTGATTTAGAAATCCCTTTTCCCAGGGTGGAAGGACACAAACAAGGAATTGATATGACTTAAGTTTCTAGATTGTTTTGAGTTTTTGTGCCCTCCATGCATCCAATTTATGCCAAATATTTTTAAGAGGCCTAAAGGGAGAGGACAAAAGGCAGACAGTAGCACCTCTTATGACCTTTGAGAAATAGAGTTTATCTTTGGGAGAAAGGGAAGACTGAGAAACAGGATTACTATGTCTTTATGAACAACACATAGTTCCAGTCAGGCCAATAATACTTGTAGCTCAGATACCCTTATTGCTGATGTGACAATCACAAGGAAAAAAGATTTCCATGCCAGAAGTTTCAAGGAAGTTTGTCAAAGTAGCTCAAAGGGTAGCATTGTTAAGGCTTTCAGGACTACACGGAGACTCCAGGTCAGAAACCTATGGACAGGAGGAGAATCAGAAAAGGATATTCCTTGAATAAAACCTCTTGATATCTAGGTCTGATCTAAGGAGATTGCTCCCTCTGCTTCAAAGAATGGAGGATAAAGCTGTCAACTGTCTCTTGAGAGTATTAAGTGTCAGTCCTTTGTCTACTCCATTCTGCAGAAAAAAAGAGAACTGCTGCAACAGAAAACAGAGGATCCTTGTCCTTGCTCTTGCCTCACTATTGGAATACCCTCCTTGAGGATTTACAGATGCATGAGGTAGAGTCTCTCCTCAAAACTAAGATGGTTTCTATGACCTTGGGTTCAGAGTCTTTTTGCTCCAGCCTCACCCTTTCAACAACCACTCCCACTGAAATTATTCCAGATTCCAGAAGTATCTTCACTGCTCTTAACTCCAGCCAATTTATGCTGGGGTGCTCCTGTGCTGATCAGTTGCTCTGGCCTAGGAATGAGTGGAGATCCATGCCCAAAAGATTGGATCTGCTATGATTTCAGTCCCAATGACAATCAGACATTTTGCCCTTGTTCATCTCCTTGTTCAACCACCAGTGCAGACACTGGTGTACTTGATTCAGAACAAGGATGGACATCTGCTTCTGTTTTGCTACACTCTTCTGATGGGAGAGTAACATCCACTGAAGAAACCTGGAATGAAGCATCCCCAGGATATATAGCCTATTGTAGAAATCATCTTGCCCAAGAGCTGTGATAAAATCATGAAATCTGATGCAGGGCATTGTACTACTTCTAGGATAGTGCCTTGCATTTCTTCCACCCTGCTGCCAGGGAGGAAACTTTTGCCTTGGTAAATGTCTATGAGTACATTCAGGAGTTTTAGGATCTCAGATGGGAATAGGTGTCTCTTCCCAAAATTTATCAGAAAACCACGTGTCTGCAAGATGTGCAATGTAGTCTGCCCATTTTTCTGGTTATTGCTTTCTAACTGTGACAGAACTAGATCATCGAAAAAGGAAAAGGAAAAGAACAAAGTATCTTCTGAGTCCTCAAGTATGCCACTAGGGCTCTTAGAATTTCCATTAACGATTGATTGATTGCCGCTACTCTGAGTGGCTTACAGTGTCATAACATAAACATATTATATA